CCGACGTGTATGAGCAGAGTGGAATATTGTGGTGCGCTTATAAATATAATCCCGATAATTAATATGGTTAATAAATCCAGCGAGATGGTAATAAATTTCCGTGCGGACGTGCGCGTCAAGATGGCAGAATTATAAGACGCGCGCATGTTGCGCCCAAGCCGCGGATGCGCTTTTCATGCTCGGTGCGCATCCGCGCGCGTCTTCTCAGCTAACGACTCCGCAAAGCTGAACAAATCCGACTCCACGTTCACAAGTCACTTCGGCGTACGCATGTTACACACGACGACGCGAGCAAAACAAGACCGCTAAGCAAAGTCCGCGCCGCACGGCAAAAATAGCTAATAAACGAAACAATAAAAGGTACGAATAAAATAACTCGACGAAAATACGCAGCGCGCCGTGTTCCCGTGATGCACCAGGCGCGTCGACACAATGCTACAAGCACCATGTCAGAAACTGTCTGGGGGTCTGTTCAAGAACTTCAGCTGGAAACCAAACGCAGCATTAAGGAATGCATTTGCTGCTATATTCTCCACATCCAAGGTTGAAGATGAAAGAATACAGAATTAGTTGTTTGATATTTCGGTAATGATTGAGTAAAACTCCATTTTTGTCAGAATTGCTTGTAAATTCAATTCGAAATATTATTGTGAATGCAAATTGGGGGAATTTAAAGTTTAGCAAATAAATGCCGCCGAATATGCAGCGAAACGATGTGCGACCAATAACAAAACATCACATAACAATAACGGGATAACAACGCGACGGTTGGCGCGGCAAAAACGGGCCATAAATTTTTGATTATTTAATTTAAATGCAGTTATCGGTATTGCGTTAATCCGGTTTATTTATTTATTAGTTGTTTATCAATAACCGGCATGTACTTGTACCACCTACCGGGGTGAACATCTCTCTGTGCAGGATTCACTGACAGCTCCAGCCAAAAACATGATTTATTGAAATAACTTAATAGTCCCAATACTAAATATTTTGATAAAATCAACCGAAATAATATATAGTTTCCTGCATAATCTTAAAGTGTGATAATTGAATTGTAGAAGGTGTTGGTGGCGGTGTAAGTTCCGTAGAGTTATGTTACAATCAATAAATTAACAGCCGCTCGCTTAACATAATAAAAGCCATGGTAGATTTTAGCCGCCACCAGCTCTCTGATTGCTTCATTATCTATGAATCTCACGCCGGTGCCAATTAAACGTTGAGCTTGAAATGTTATCAAAATTAATGCGTTCGTTGTTACACCGCTACCAACGCATATGACACCTAACTCCCAGTAGTACCAACCGTAGCACCAGTTTCAGCTCCAGTTGTTTTCATAATGGACATGGGACACCGGTCACTAACACATGATCAGGAATTAATTAATATCCCACAACAAAACAACAATTAAATTTGATCTGTTGGTCAATATTACTCGTGTTCCACGATGATTACTTCCACATGTATTTCAATGATGAAAATGAAGTTATAATTTACATTCCAATATTTTATGTGATTTTAAAGACATACAGCTAGTCTTCTTTGGCCCACATGGTGCTGAGTAAGTTCGGCGGGTATTTTTTTGGAGGGCCAGTGGGGAACCGGTTTTTTCGTTTCCCAAAGACGTCGACTCGACCAAAAAACGAAAGAAGTCGCCGCTCGCGCGCGCGTTCGACCGATATATATCCAAGCGTTTGCTTTGCAGCTTTCGAGAGCCATTGGAAGTACCATTTGCTCGTTTTGTAACACACGTCGGCTCGCTTGCTTACAAAATTACACGGAGGCGAGAGCGAGAGAGCGAAAAGGAAGAGCAAACACGCCAAGAACTGAGAACTGGTATTCATAATTTATAAAATATGGCCGCGGCTTGTAGTAGTTCTCACTACAAAACTGCATTCTTTCAGCGGCGGAAAACAAAATAAAAACAAAGAACGAGGAAAGAGGTAAAACGAGTATATATAGACAAATGGCCAAAGGAGAATAAGTAAATAAATGAAAATGAAGATATTTGATGGTGCACAAATTGATTTCGTAACCAAGATGAAATCTGCGGTCTTATGACGGGGTTTGAAGTGTAATATCTACGTGATTCTTGTTGTTACAAGCTCACGTTCCGAGTTGATTTCGTGTGATCGTGCAGGCAGCTTTAAATTGCTCCAATAACTCCATCAAAATCATCTGTAATTCATGAACGTCCAACGTGATTACTCAATAGACTTGGACGCGATGCAGTAAGAAATTCTTTTTACTCACTTGGAAGGGCATCCATCAAGATGGACGAAATTTCCAACGCAAACAACGCCGCAAGGTGGTAGGTGCAAAAAATAAGAACTGCACGCATCGGTGATCCGCACCGCCACTGGAATCGATATTCGATCAATCAATGTAACATGTCAAACGGTAAAACAATGCCATGTCGCTGTATAATTGAAGTCCATATATCATGCGTATGGGTGCGCACTGCAAACCTCTGCAGTCGGCACTCGGCACACCGCGATAAATAAATGCCGTTTCGCATGCGTGTGCACAGCAAGTGTGGTGGTTGCACTTTCCGAATTCGCAATTCACATCGAGTGTTGTTGAGTGTATCAATTCGACTTTACAAATTGACATTGTAATTCAATTTCCAAGCCAAGTTTTAAATAAATTCATTATTATACAAGCCTAGTATTAAATTATCCGTAAGACATGCAATAATGAAGTCTGATCCAATGAGGATGAGATGATTAGCATCTGATATCATGACTGCCAACCTGAGACCTGATCGTGATGATGCCCACATAATTTGAATGTGCGTTTTGCATAAACAACATTAGCATATCTTGGTACCTTTGCAGCGTCTAATTATGAAGTTAATTTTTACCTCCTTTGCTTTCTGCATGGTGCTTGTTACTTGTTACTTTCGTTTACTACATCAGCATATAAGCACATAACTATAATTAATGTATTATCATTAAAACATTCAAATTACAATGTTGTACCTGTTCAACCAGCTAGCACGAACGTGTGTATTCCTTTTATCAGGTAACCTAAATTATTATTTAATTGCATAATTACTTAATTAACTAATAACGTCTATGGGTAATAATTCATATCTGCAAATTAAGCACGACCGTTCGAATGCAAATTTTACAAGTCGGCGAAAACGTGTTCTTCAAGAAAATGATTGAAAATAAGAGAAATAAATATGACATCAGACAAATGTGTTTATTACGCATTAAAACATTGTTGTTTTGACATTGTGAATTCGCACGTTGCGCGCTCATATTTTCTCATCTTGCGGGTTATAAATTAAGTTGATTGCACGCCGCAAAGCAAATGGATGCAGTGTTTTTTTTTTTTTGTATAATTTTAATATCTCCAAGCTACCGAAATGCATGAAAGAATGAGGATCAAGGAAGTAACGACGAAACGGCCGAAATTAAACGAAGCGCACGTCCACGCGATTCAACCAAACTGAAATACGAGTGAATTTGCTGGTTTATGCATTTGTGGATAATCCAGGCGGGTCGTGCATCATGGTGGGTGTTTTTTTGAATTTATATGCGTCCACATCCACAGCCCACAACTCACAATTCCAAACACGCAATGCGTTTATTAAATTAATATTATTTCCAGGCTGACCTTTGGGCATCACTTCGTCACATCATAAAGCATAATATCTCAACTTTTAAGTGTTAGAATAAAAGCTGGTAGTCACCTTAGACTACCGAGGATGAATAATTTTATAAAGTGAGTAGGTGGTTTTTGGTCCTCGTTAATTTATGTTATGTTTCACACGTTTTATAAAATACTATGCCAAGTTTTAGACACACTGGTAGTTTTGAGAGTATCGTGTTTTTAATCGACGAGGTGTGCATGCACACTGCAGTGTGCTAGGAAAATGTATGAAGAGTAAGTGCGGCCCATTAAACACATTATAAATTTAAATTAAACCGCAGTGATTTATGCGTTTTGCCGAATCGCCGAATCGCGCGTCCGAATCGATTTATTCGAACGGCATTTGGAGTATACTTGGAGTATACATGTGTGGGTATTTAGTAGTGTGCTTGGTCGGGCGCATGCAACGTTCGCGAATTCACGAATTTCGCGAAATATTTCACCGGCCGTCCGCATTAAACGCCTGAATCGTACGTCAGTCTATTCGAACGGCATCATCATTAATCTTCGTTGCGTTTTGCCAAAAAGTTGAAACTCATTTTTACCAATTGTAAAATAAACTATAATTGTTTCAGAAATGGCAGAGTAGTGACAAGCTGGTCAAGCGCTAGCTAAATATATACATAATTTAGCTTGCAAGTAATTTTGGGCGAGCGTCCCGAAAATGTAACGGAAACTAAATTAACTCGAAATTTCCGAGCGCGATGACATAAGGTTTTCGGTGTTTAGTCAACGTGAGATTTCTCGCCTCCTCTGCTGCTGCACCAGTAAAGTTATAATCGAGTTATACGTACAAAGTTGCAACTCATCAACTTGTGCAATGAGGTATCACTATTTGGTATAATAAACTATTTCCTCCCAAATTTTGATTAATTTTTTAAAGGAATTCTAAGTAAACCAATGTTTAGAAGAAATTTTCTAAGCTTTCCAATTACCCTAAAGTCCTAATTAGACATTAGTCAAGTTATGAATTTGCGACACTCAAAATTCCAATTCGAAAAAGTTCTTCCTCGTAGGCAAGGCCCATGCCAGCCAATGATGAAAACTAAATTTAAAATAGTTATAAATAACGTCGTTCACTGCGACGCTGCCTAAACTTTAATAAAGCTACCGTTCATCTTGCCCACGAACACCTTTGCGTTCATTTTATTTGAGTTCCTCTTGCGCGACGAGACGATAGTTCCTGGTCTACTAACTAACTGTCTATACATTCCCGCATCACACATCCCACCGTTCTGCAAATGGAAAACGGCTCCAGTTGTTTGTGGTTATTAAAAGATTATGAAACATATTTATTAACTGCGTACTGCCCGAATATATCGTTCTATAAAGTATGTATCTACCTATTTTTATGTACTGCGTTCAACTGCCATAGTCCAGTCGTTTACCGTCGGACGGCGAGGCGGCTTCCAATGTCGTTTTATTTCAGAATCGTAAATCTCCAGGTGAAGTTCCGCGCACATGAGACACACATGAAATTCACATCGCTGCACACGTCCAGGGTCCAACTGGCTCCCTGGTTCGAAGGGGTGGTGACCAGGTTTCCAATTAGACGTCTATTTGCTCTCGATCTGGTTTTGGTTCCTGTGTTCTTTTTTATTCGAGGCTCCGCACGGGAAAATCTATAATCTATCGGTTGGCGGTGTTTTATATTCGCAAACTGCACGGCACACTAACACCAATGGAAGCTTTTTGCACATGGATTACGATTTACGAGCCGGTACTCATGCTCACGCGCTTGTTTCGGTTTACATTGTGTGCGGTACACCGGCAGCAACTGCGCGCAGAGACGAAGGTAAAAATTTAATTGAGAATTATGACCGCGCGGCAATTTGTCGTCTTTAAAACGCTTTTATTGAACAGTGAGCACCACAACGCCCGGCAGTACTTTACGATTATTGTACGTGTGTTATTTGTGTTTCACCTGGTACCCGATTTGATGCTTTTTTTACTGATGAGCACCTCTTATTGTTGTCCGTTCACTTTTCACAGCACTCTTACACTAGTTCCCTGCTGGCGTTCTTCGCTCTGCGGACGAAAACGACCACATAAAAATTTGGAATTTCGAAATGTCGTTTTGGTCATCCGGTGGCACGCTACACGCGCGAAAACCGTCCGCGCCGACCGTCCACATTCGCACAAGCAGCCGGACTGAGTTTGCTCGCGACTTGGGCAGCAAACAGCATCGGCTCAATAGTTGTATAAAGTTGATATTGTATATACAAACAACGGTTTTAAATATACGATGCGCTTTCGTGATGCCCGACTTGATCGGCACGCTATCAAAAACGGCTGCTACTGCGCGAATGCATTGCGCATTTAGATACAGACAAGCACTAAAAATTATACTATAGGCTTGACGGGTGTGCGTTCACTCTCAACTCGACGCACATCTCGACATATTGAGTGGAATCAATTGGTTTACATTGCCCGGAGCCGCACAAACTTGAAGTTATCAAACAAACCGTAATTTACATCCAAAAGTGTATCAAATCTGACCGTGGTAGTCATGGCTGGTGTTTCCTATCCAATGCTAGCAGCTGAACTGAATATCTCAATATTTTAAAATTCCTAAGACCCCCATAAGTTGAGAAGCAATATTCGGAGTTTTTACAATAAAAAATAAGATTTTTTATTACCGTTCAAGGCTTGTAAAAATGGACAAAAAGCAAATTGCCAGAACATAATACAATTTTTTTCTTGGTCATCGCGCAATGGGCACCCTACGTGGCCAGTAGAAAGAAGAGGCCTAGTTGAAGGCAGTAAAAAAACCGATCGTCCTTCACTTCAACATTTCCTTATACTGCGCACTGGGCCAAAATAACGGTATCGACATAATAAACCAACATTACCTACATACCCTAAAAATATCGTTTTGCATGAGGAATTGACCGTTTGAGACAGTGGTTGTTTGAGATTTTAATACACGTAATCTTGTGGTATTTCCGGATATTTACCACAGTAGCATTGAGTGTAGCGGATGACTGCAAAGTGAATACAATGAGATTTACTATCTGTGGCAGTCGGCAGCGCGAGTTTAACAATGTGTACGCTCGTAAAATCTGGCAGAAGTGTGTAATATACCAGACGCGTCACATAAAGTTGAACCTTCTTAGCTCAACAGTGTCGTAGCTCAGACCCAACCATCCGACGCACGCACGCCGCGGAGCATTTCTCCGTTTGGGTGAAACCGTGCCGCGACGTGGTAGATCCCGCAACAAATGAACGAATCGCGCTTGTCATCACTAATCAACTTGGGCCTGCGCCTTGGGGCGTGAAGATATCCAGTAAATGAGCTTCATGAGTGTCAACTCCCGCGTTGTAAAGTCTCCCAACATGACTCAACTGTCAAATACTAAAGTTTTTAACTATTTTTTGGTGCTTTTTAGAAAAAGGGTTCAATAATTGCATTTTGATTATCGGAGCAAACTTGGTGTTGAAGTTTGAAACGTGTTTGGGGTTGGATTGCTCTCTGACTGGCTGCTCCTGGCAAGTGCACGCCGAGTATCGGGTGTTGGTGTTTGCTTGAGCATGTCGGGAACGCCAATTGTCCTGGGCGCGACGAGCGCGCGGTGTGCACACCAGCGAAGGCGAATTGGCTGGTAATAGAGTGTTTACCAGCGCTCGGTGGGTCGTAATTTCGACTCATTTGTGTAGAAACGGGTCGCGTTATTATTACGGTTATGGTTATTGGCCACCTGTTTAGCGTGCCACCGCCGCCGCTTGACGGACGTTTATTATTGAATGCAAGCAAGCTTTGCAGGACTCCTCTGCATCGAACCGTTCGGGTAGGGCGAGTGAGCATCGACATTTTCGACACTTCATTCTCAATCGAACAACACTACTAGTATTTGATTGTGTTTGTTCGTATAGAACGCGTGTGAACATTTTGAATTTAGGTCTGTGAATACGGAAGTAAAGGAATAATCGAAGACGAAGACAATTATCTTTATTGCCCGTTATTGCCCAGAACATTATAGTACAACAATTAAATGTCACTTACTTTGGACGCTGTTTTACGAGCTGTTTCGAGCAATTAATTAAGGGGTTCTCGTTTACAGCGTTTTAACGATCCGCCACGCCGCCGGAATCAATTATTACGCCATAAAAAGCAAGTACATCACATAAAAATGCTCCTATCTGTTAGCACCACTTTTTGTAGGCAAATTCAGAATTAGATCGTGGTTTAACCAGTGTTACTACCACATGAAACTATAGTTAATGATTTGGTATGCCAAGAAAATAAAGCCGTTCAAGAAAAGTAAGCGCTGGAAGAGCGGGTACCCCCGATACAAGATGCAGGTTGCTGTTAGTGAATTTACGAGCGTCTCCCAGTAATTATATAGATATCAACCCATCGACCATGCACGTGGTATTCATAATTCTGCGTTCGAATTTTTGCAGAGTTTGTTCGCGAATGTCGTGACGTTGGTGCGGCACGTTGTTGTTAAACCTCCGCAGCCCAGGCGTACGGTGCAGTGTGCCGATTCACTTGACGGCAAAAACCCGTCCCTTATTTATAACTTTATTACGTTGAACCGCGCTGCACCGTTTCCAGCGTCGGTGATATCGTTCGTGTGCCTGGATTTGTCGATGTGTGCGAAAGTTCACGCGATTTCCTCCACTCCCTCGTGCGGTCTACGATGCATGAGCGCCAAAAGCACGATATTACATGTATTTCGCAAAATTCACTCATTTTAAGTCTAGCATGCTATTCCCCGGAACAATTTTATACGCAGTTATAAAGGTACAATAGGTACCAAAGCCCAAGGTACAAAATTAACCAAAACGATCAAGATATTTTTGGTTCATTGATTGGTAACTTCTGTTGTTTGTGTTTTTTGAAAACAGTAACGAATTAGATTTACATTTTACTAACCCTTCTTTGTGCCCAAAAATATGGTACCAAAAAGATTTGTAAAACTGAATAGTAACGTAATGGCCTATAAAAGTCTCGATGTTTTCACCCGCAGCGCACCATTTATCGAGTTAACTTTTCGCAGGGATTGTGCCCTATTGTTCCGACTGGCATTTGCAGTTTAAAACGATGCGATGCGAGGTCATAGGCCGGCGCACTTGTAATATTAGCAAACGGTAGGAAGTTGTACTGACCTTTTATGCGACGATTATGAGGGTCTAGCAGGTTCCGGAAGACAGCCGGATGCAAGGGACCATCGGTCAAATGCACGCTCACCCAATGATCTCCGCAGCGCCGTACCACTACCCAGATCAGATGACCGGTGTACCGAAGTCAACGTGTTTAACAGTTCGTCCTTATCGGTTAGTGTTCGCCCGCCAAAAACTCTCCAAAATACAAATCAGTATGTGAAATGCGACGCGTGGAGAACGAAAGTTCGCGACTTCCTGTTCGAGCTTTGCAGCTGCGGCCCGCGTAGAGCGCCGATCTAAACTGCTGAGGACATGTGCGTTGATAGCATTGATATCGCGAGACAAACTTGTCCGATTGCTATACGTGAGTTAAGTGTTCGCGAGAAATGGTTTACGGCCTCGGCAGCGAGACGCAGGCCGTGCGCTCCGCCCGACACAAAGCTGGCGCTTTCGTGGGGGGACGCGGGGAGACAGGCGATATCAGTTTTATGGGCGGACCGACGGAATCGCGCTCTCCTCGCCACAGCGCTCTCGCTTTGATTCGAGCGCCCAGGCAGCGGCGCGACGCAGAGGCGGCTACAAAGGGGACGCCAGATAATGGTTGCGCGCTCCCCGCTAAACACACCATGCTTTATGTGCGTCTTCTCTCTCGGTCGCGAACGCGTGCGCCGCGATTTACGAGCGCGCTCGCTCGGACACGCGTCGCCCGAAAACGGCGACGTGACGTAACGGCGTCGGGCCACGTGACTCGCGCTCGCCGTGTGGTCGACACCCTAGAGTAGCTGTAGGCCACGACGCCGCTCCACGAAATAGGCCTCTTCCAGTGCGCATTTCGCGCACGCAACACAAACACTGCTCTGCCAGCGCTCCTAAGGGTAGCTTTTTTGTATGTATAACACCCAAACCATCCAAAAAAATTAACATTAGGCCAAATATATAAACTGCACAACCTAATAAACTTTTCTTCAAACGTTCTTCTTGAATTAGACAAGTTTCTTTTGCCCTTATTTGATAGTATTTTCATTCCATCCTGCGTACTATTATTTTTTCTAATTTTCTTTTATTTTGTGTGTGCTGATGTTTTTTGTGGTAAGCCGCACGAAACGTCTTCACTCTGCTGGCCCAAGTCTGAACGAACCCAGTAATGCGATTGCACACTCTTTATTCGAATTGCGCGCTGGTATTACATTTTGCGGTAGTAAATTTGAAACGTCGCCAATAATAAATTACCAGGAGGCAGTTACTAGCTAAAATTAGCAGCATTGGATGCATTTGGAACATTTGTAAAAAATCACAATAAAAATTACCAGCACAAAACCTGAACTTCATACCAAGTAAATTCATGTTAATTTTGTTGACATGTTATTATTAAAATTGATTGGAGATTTGAATTATTCTTTTAAACTTTCAATTTCGTTTGCCTTTGGTGTGCGGCGTCAATAAATTGTGCACGCTCAGTTCATTCGAGGCCCGAGTGCCCGACACTCTCCATGGATGTACCCATTGCGGCAGTGTCTCTCTCGGGAAGGAGACGAGAACGAAATTATGTTTATAGTAACAGTTATGTTAAGGGCACACTTGTTGTGCTCCGTACAGTGTGGAACTCGGCGCGGAATCTCCATGGCTGGAAATCCTCTTGTGGAAGCCCGTGCGCGCCGTTTCTTTTCCACACTGTTTTCTGTCCTGCACTTGCCGGTGACCGCCCCATTGGCACCCTCTTGCTTTTGGCGTGCCGGTGTCAAAGCCAGACAGAGGCGGGAAACCGGGCGCATTGAGCGAGAGCTCAAGAATCGAGTTTTAGTACTTCATAAACTAGAGGCGCGCACGCGAGCTTCCGAGGTTGAAATCTTGGGTTACAGCGGAAGGCTGTTATGGTGCCCGTAAAGACTAGTGATTTGATTTTATGTGTTTCGGTTAAATATCACTTTATCCACCGTTGAGCGCTACCTTGGCTACTACCAGTGAAATGCCCCGCACTTTACACTTGCTCTTGTAAAACGATTTCACGTTTCATTGCCGCAACAGCGTTTTTATTAGCTGCTATCG